AAGATTAAACAATTTCATGAAAAAATTTCATAAGATTAAACAATGAAATCAACGTATGAGGGTGGTTTGTACGGTTTGTACAAATGAGGGTGGTTTTCAGTTGAACACTCTTCCCTCTCTCTCTCTCTCTCTCTCTATATATATATATATATATATATATATTTCTTTTATTGATGATGGAATATTATCATGGTAAGATAAAAGCATGGAAAATATATGAACTTTCTTTTTATCATTTGTTTATATGATATTTTTATGATCGTCTTTTATTTAGAAAAAAAAACGAAAAGATAACTCACAACTCCAGTAGGTGAATAGGCCGTGATGGCGAACTTATGGTCCCTCTGCAATCCTGTAAAGCAGATTTTCATCACACAAAAACAAACATATTCAAATTAGCTAAGGTAGAAATGAACAACCACAACACCAAGAAGAAGAAATGAACAACAACAAGAAGAAGTTTGAAGTCTCTTATTGGTTCAAGCAGTATCATGGTGGATGGTACATCACCAATAAGCATTATTGGGCAGTAAGTTCTCTTAATTTGATTTAGATGATCCATGCATTAACTTAGTTTGAAGTCTTATAGTGAAGCAGATTATGAAGGATCTGAAAAAACAATCCAACAAGTAACCAAATAAATAAATCCATTCAAATGTAATGGATACTTTGATTGAGTAATCAAAAACAGCAGAAAAGATTCATTAGAAGTAAAAAAAACGTAGAGTTATTAAGAAACTTCTATCATGCAAACCAAAACAAAACTTTGATTACTCTAAGTCAATAATCACAAAGAATCCAGGTCAAACACAATTAAAAAGATTCATGAAAACTAAAAAAAAACTTATATTATCGAGAAACTTCTATCAAGCAAACAAAAACATCAACTTTGGTTATTCTAAATCAATAATCACAGAAACTCCAGATCAAAAACAACAAAAAAAATATTCATTAAAACTAAAAAAATCCATCGAATTATCAAGAAACTTCAATCAGGAAAAACAAAAACAACAACTTTGGTTATCCTGAATCAATAATCACAGAGAACCCAAACCAAAAACAGCAGAAAAGATTCATTAAAACTAAAAAAAATCCATAGAATTACCAAGAAACTTCTATCAAGCAAACAAAAACATTAACTTTGGTTACTCTAAATTAATAATCACAAAGAACCCAGATCAAAAACAGCTGGAAAGATTCATTAAAAAATTAAAAATAATCCACCAAATTATCAAGAAACTTCAATCAGGCAGCCAAAAACATCAACTTTGGTTACTCTAAATCAATAATCACAAAGAACTCAGATCTAAAATAGCATGAAAAATTCATTAAAAAACTAAATAATCCATCGAATTATCAAGAAACTTCAATCAGGCAAGCAAAAATATCAACTTTGGTTACTCAAAATCAATAATCACAAAGAACCCAAATCAAAAAAAAAAAAAAACTAAAAAGATTCATCTAAATTAACCCCCCCCCCCCTCCTGGAATTAACAAGAAACTTCTATCTTGCAAACCAAAATATAACTTTGGCTACTCTAAATCAGTAATCACAAAAAACCCAGATCAAAAACAACAAAAATATTAGTTAAAAATTAAGAGTTTTATTGTAAATGAATATTAAGGTAATATAGATTATTCATGATGAAAATTCATACTGAAGAAGGATACATGGCACACTATACACAGTTCCGAAGTTCCTAATGAAACTTTCCTCCCTCTATATGTATATATTCATCAATTTCTTTCCTATACTATCTATATTGTTTACAATTACATGTTTTCAACTAATGAATCTTTCATGTTTATACGTATATATGTGTGTGTCTGCATAAAACAAAGGTTATACATATGGCCACATATAATGTGAGATTACATATGGCCACATATAATGTGAGATTGCATAAAACAAAGGTTAACATAATCATATTCAAGTTAGTAGGAAATGTATACATTTCATTTGATTTAAGCACTCTACATAAAAGATAGTCAAGTAGAGGTGATTATGTTGTTTGCCATAGGTATATTCAGAGCACATGTTTATTGCAACTATGGCTACTGTTAGGTATATGCAGAACACATGTTTATTTAGCACTCTACTGTTTGTTATAGGTGATAATGTTGTTGTTTGTTTCAGGCTTCAACAAGACTGGACATGTTTATTGCAACTATGGCTATTGTTAGTGCGAGAGTTATTGAATTGATGTTTGTAATGTTACTTAGAAGAAAAGAGAATAATATTTTTCAAGAGTGAGATGAGATGTTTGTTTCCCTTATTTAGTAATTTGATCTAGTAAATGTTTTTTTTTTTGTTTAATAACAACTCCATTTATATAGCTAGGTTTGGTTTGTTATATACCTCTCTCCTCTATGCATATATTGAACATTCATATTTCTGAGAGCCAACAATCCAATCCAAGTCCTGCTCACTGAATATGGAAGTTGTTAGTAGGAAATGCATATATTTCATTTGATTTATGTTTGGCTTTAGAGGTTGTTTTCTGTAATCATATAACCATACTCAAACAAAAGATCCATCTCTCTTTCTTCTTAAATGATTTATTAATAGGAACAAATTTCATTTTAAACCAGTGGAGTAGAGGGGATAATAGACGGGAAACTTGAAAACTAAAAAAAAACCCTTAAATTATTGAGAAACTTCTACCATGCAAGCAAAAACAAACTTTGGTTACTCTAACTCAATAATCACAAAAACCCCATATCAAAAACAACAAAAAAGATTCATTAAAACTAAAACATCCATCGAATTATCATGAAACTTCAATCAGGAAAAACAAAAACAACAACTTTGGTTACCCTGAATCAATAATTGCAGAGAACCCAGACCAAAAACAGCAAAAAAATTCACTGAAACTAAAAAAATCCATAGATTTATCAAGAACCTTCTATCATTCAAACAAAAACATCAAATTTGGCTACTCTAGATTAATAATCACAAAGAACCCATATCAAAACAGCAGAAAATATTCATTAAAAAAACTAAAAATAATCCATCAAATTATCAAGAAACTTCAATTAGGCACCCAAAAACATTAACTTTGGTTACTCTAAATCAAGAATCACAAAGAACTCAAATAAAAAACAACAGGAAAGATTCATTAAAAAAACTAAATAATCCATTGAATTATCAAGAAGCTTCAATCAGGCAAGCAAAAACATCAACTTTGGTTACTCTAAATTAATAATCACAAAGAACCCAGATCAAAAACAGCTAAAATGATTCATCTAAACTAACCCCCCTCCTGGAATTAACAAAAAACTTCTATCATGCAAACCAAAACATAACTTTGGCTACTCTAAATTAATAATCACAAAAAACCCATATTAAAAACAACAAAAATATTAGTTAAAATTTAAGAGTTTTGTTGTAATAGGGGATTTCAAAATTATAGTGAAGATTCTTACCTCTAAGTTTAGAGCTAAATCCACAAGTTGTCAATTGCTTTGCAAGTTGTACATACCTTTGGCTTTAGATTCAGCCAATACCATGATTGAACAATAGAAATCATCAATCGGTTAAACCAAAGAGAAGATAAAGGAAGTTAAAATCTCATCAGCAGAAATCGTTGGAGAAATCAAAATTGAAATCGAAATCAATAGGGTTTTGAAGAAGATGCATCCAAATTAATGTTGAAATGGAAATCTCTAGGTTTTGAAAAACCTGTGAAATTAAAACATCAGGGAGAAGGGAGTTATATGTATCGATGAGGTGGTGATACATGAAATCGGTTTGATACATGAAATCGCTTTTGAAGACTATGAGAGAAGAAAGCAGATCGAACATCTGTTCAAGGTGATACATCAAAACCACCAGGTTAACCTGTTCGAGGTCATTGAAGGAAGAAAACATCTCTATCTAACCCAAAATTTGTTTTGGCGCATATGAGATGAGATACTGAAATAGGAATGTAGAAGATTGTAAGGAGAAAGCACGTTTGAAAGCTTCCGATTAGGATTTAGTGTTGTGGGTTTAAAACCATTGCATAAAAAACTTGTACATTGTACATAAATAGTTTGTAATTAAGAGATTTTTGAATTTCTTGCACAAACTTATAATAGTTTATGCTTTAAGATTTGTACTTAAGACTTTTATTGTAAATGCTTATTAATGTAGTATAGATATAGATTAAGATTATCATGAATTTACGATAACTAAATGTACAATTATGATATTTAAATCTTAGAAATTAAATTAATATTAATGATAGAAATATTTTAATGATGATTAAATATTAAATTACTTTTAAAATTCAAATTAATAGTAATATATACTTCAAGTAAAAACGAAGCGAACAATCCGTTTAACGTTCAAATTCGAATTCAAAAAAAACCCACATGCCAAAAAGGGACAGAAACAGAAAGCCCAATATTCAAAATCTTATACTACTAAAAATACTTGTGAAACCCGATGCCTTTTATATTTATACTTTTACCCCCTCATCTTCAAAATATGTTACAAAAATGCCCACTCGCTCTCAACCCAAGGCCCACGGTAAGAAAACAGACAACAAACAGCCTTGTGGGCCCCATTCCTCGTCCGCTCCTAACGAATACCTGGCTTCCATCCAACGGCCAGGATCGATTCTCATTTCAAATCATCTTCTTTGCCCGCCTTCAAAAGTACCATTAAATAACACCTCTTTTCTCTCTCTCTTTCTCACCCTTGTTTTGAATTCGCTAACCCCCTTTTTCTATTCGAGAAAATCAAACGGATAGTTTGATTCAAAATCGCATGAATTTTCTTGGGTTTTCTGAGGATTTCTTCACCTTCTTGTGAATTTTTTTTTGGATTTTGATTCTAGGCTTTTTTTCCTTTCTGTTTTGAAAAATCAAACGCATAGTTTGATTCAAAATCGCATGAATTTTGTTAGGTTTTCTGGGGATTTCTTCTTCTCGTGAAATCTGTTGGCTTTTATTTCTAGGGTTTCTTCTTTTTATCTTTCTTTCTGCGGTTTCGTTTCATCGGAGAGCCTTGTGCAATGTCGACGGCGACCCAGAATCGGAAAACATCAGGAACCACGTCGTCTCTGGCAAAACGACAGGCGTCGGAGAATTTCATTGGGAAATCGACGGCGTTACCCCCTCACATGGCAAAGAAACGCCCTGCTCTTGCTAACGTTACGAATCAGAGACCTGCATCTCATAACGTCCCTCGAAATCCCTCAAATTTGGTAAACCTAAATTCCTTCTTTATTAGTGTTTCGTTTATATTTAGGTTTTCTTTTTTAATAATCTTGCAATGATGTTTCCCTTTTCTTGAATTGTCGCCAATCTCTGTTTCTGTAACCAGAATTTTGATGATCAGTCCATTTCTTGATAAACAATCATAATTTGTTACCCATCTCAACATTTTTTGCTTGGATTTATGATTATTAATCCCTTCAGATTCAAAATTGGCCTTAGATTTTTGCTTTTATTTTCAAATCTTTCTATAGTCTTCGTTTCTTGTAAAAAGAACATAGTTTTTGAATTCAAATCTAAAGGTTAAAATGTCAGAGCCAAATATAGACAATTTTTGTCATGAATTTTGTGTATTTATGTATAGCTTTATCTCTTCAGATTGGTGAACCAAAGAAGGGATCTTCAGTTCTCAATAACAATATAAAGCCCACTTCTTTGATTAAGAGTTCATCGGTAGCAAGAAAAGATGCAAATGTTTCTAGGATCATTGTTCCTCCTGTTGAATGTAAAATGGATGTGTCTCCATCAAAATCAGACGGTTTGTCGGTCTCCATGGATGAAACGATGTCCACATGTGATTCTTTAAATAGCCCAGATGTTGAATACATAGATAACAACGATATAGCAGCAATCGATTCTATCGAGAGAAGAACTTGTAGCAAACTGAACATTTCAGATCATGTGGAAGCAACAACAGGTGTTGATATTTGGTTCATATAATTTGTGGGTTTTTTTCTTTATGTTGGTGTGTGTTGTTGAATTAACATTTTTTTTTGGAATTGGAATGTTTATAGGAAATATATGCAAAAGAGAGATACTTATGGAAATGGGGTCAAAAGACAAGATTGTTGATCTTGATGTTGATTTCATGGATCCACAGATGTGTGCAACTATGGCTTGTGACATTTATCAGCACCTTAGAGCATCAGAGGTGCTTCACTACTCTTTTTTTTAAACTGCATTTCATACTTTTGGTCTCTATATTGCATTTTACTTTAAAAACCGGTTGGATCGAACAAAATTAGACCCTTTTTGGTGAGTGATTTGGCGGTCCGGTCTGATTTGAAAAATTCTCTAAACAAGAAGTGGGCTTTTCTTTTCGGGTTTTAATTACTTTTTGTTGTTGATTTCAGGCTAAGAAAAGACCTTCAATTGATTTCATGGAGAAGGTCCAGAAAGACATTAATGCCGAAATGCGTGCAATCCTTATAGACTGGCTTGTGGAGGTAAAATATGTTTCTTCACAATTTCCTCTAATTTTTTGTATATATTTTTGCTGATACAAAAATGTTACAAAATGTAGGTTGCTGAAGAGTATAGGCTCGTACCCGATACATTGTATCTGACTATTAACTACATCGACCGTTATCTTTCGGGTAATTTGATGGACCGCCAACGCCTACAATTGCTCGGTGTTGCATGCATGATGATTGCTGCGTAAGACATTACATCTTTCTCATAGAATTTCTAATAAGCCGGGTCGGGCTTTGGTTGAAAGAGGGCCTGATCGGGTTTATTTTGTTTCTTAGTTCTCACATATATGGATTATCTGCATATTTTTGTTTGAAAAATCTGAATGGAATTTAAACAAAATTTCAGCAAGTATGAGGAGATCTGTGCACCACAGGTGGAAGAATTCTGCTATATAACCGATAATACATACGTGAAAGACGAGGTGTGTTCTTTATAACAAATCGATGTTGTTCTTTAGACGCACAACTGGGCTTCGTTTTTGCTAATTAAGCGTTTAAACTCTTCACAGGTATTACAGATGGAATCAGCAGTTCTAAATTTCTTAAAGTTTGAAATGACAGCCCCGACAGCTAGATGTTTCTTGAGGTATTTTTTCGTACCTGAAATCATAAAATGCGTGCAAACGAGGGCTGTAAAACTGATGATTTTGCGTGTATCTACAGACGATTTGTTCGTGCTGCACAAGGAGTAAATGAGGTATAAAACTGAAATCTTTTATGTTAGATCGATCATAAAGAAGTAGACTTGGCATTTGATTTTAATGATGATGTATGTAAACAGGGTCCTTCAATGCAATTAGAGTGTTTGGCCAGCTACATATCGGAGTTATCTCTTCTCGAGTACAGTATGATGTGTTACGCCCCTTCTCTTGTTGCGGCATCGGCTATTTTTCTAGCACGATTCGTGCTTTTTCCATCAAAGAAACCTTGGGTATGTGCCATTGCAAAAACTGTATGTTTTTGGACGTGTTAAGACACTTTTGAAATAAAGCTAATTGGTTAAATTCTACAGAATTCAACATTGAGTCATTATACGCGGTATCAACCATCGGATTTACATGAATGTGTCAAGGCTCTGCATACCCTTGTTTGCGAATGCCCAAATTCTCGTTTGCCAGCAATACGGGAAAAGTACAGTCAACATAAGGTGCGTAACGATGAATTTATTTTATTATTCTTACGACACATTGGATTTTATTTTTGTGGGTATATAGATTCAAAGCTAATATATGGTAATGTTTTATGTGAATCAGTATAAATTTGTAGCGAAGAAATATTGTCAACCATCGATACCAATGGAGTATTTTCAGGACGTTTAGGTGATAGTTGCGGTGGAATGGTTAATGATCAGTGTTTTGGTGATGATCGATCGATCGATCATCTTTGAATCTTGAAATCGAATTATTGTTCTACTACTGTGTCTAATGCCAGCAATGAATAGATTCATGTTTTCTTGATCCATGATCGGTGCCGGTTTATATGACGCGGAACGAAAGTGATAATAGAACACAAATTTGAGAAGAAGAAAAGCTTCGGTATTTATTTGATGAATCGTCAAAAAGGGTCTTTTTATAGGTGAATCTAATGTTGGCTGCAGGTTGGCAACGAATTAAGATATAAAGCTCGAGAATTAAAACTTTTGAGTATTTTCTAAATAGCAACGTAAGGTGAGAAACCTAAGAATAGAGCAACGAATTAGTTGCTCTATTAGATTATTGTCGAAAGAAAAAAAAGATGTGTGAGAAGGAAAGTTAAGGTGAGAAACCTAAGAAAAGATTTAGACTTTTGATCACATTTAATTTCAAACCTGCTCATGAATCGTATTTGATACGGAAATTAATCTGGTACATCTCATTTCGATACATCTCATCTTAATGTGTGTAAAATGGTGGTAATCTTTTGTGGAAACCCCATCCATTGTCGGAAAAGGTGACATTGTGTTTATAAAAATAAAATAAGTGTGAATTACAACACTCAAGGTGAATTTGGATATGGCTCTTTTAAAGAAATAACTTGTACCAAATATTATTATACAATAAAACAAATTAATATATGACCCTCACCCTCATCCTCTCTCTCTCTCTCTCTCTCTCTCTCTCTCTCTCCTAACCACCATCTTTTAGGTTTTCTTAAATCTGGGTTTGATACCATCTTCACACGTCCGGGTTTAGTGCTTGGACCACCACCATCAATTGGTTAGGATTTAAACCTTAAGGTTTGTTCTTGATTTTATTGATAAAAGTATTTTCGTAAACTTAAAGACCAATGAAGAAGATTAACGTTTATCAACATAAATCTTGAAGTAATTGCCCCTCATGTGAGGACTACATGGGGCGGTTAAGAGGCCTCAAGTTAATGGTGTAGATTGTGTTTAAGAACCATATCCAAAATTTTAGCAAACTCTAGGGACTAATATACAATTCACTCATAAAAAAGAGTAATTCATGGATATGATCCCTGAGGTTTATCATTTGTTACGAAACTGAGCATTATCTTCATTTATTACAAAAGACTCTCAATCTATGCAATTTGTCTTGGATTTGGTCCTTTGTACAAACGGTTGTCCACCATTGCCGTTAAAATCATCAATGCATAAGGGAACAGCACGAAGCGATGATCATAAAATTTATCCACTAGATTGATCATTCGGTAACCTTCTTTTGGCATGGAAATTCCACTCCAATCCCTTTAATGGATCCCCGAAGGAGACGGTACGAGGGAAAAATGTTTTTTTTTAAATTTTATTTATATAAAGCTTTTTTTGTCAAACATTTATAGCACAATGGCCACATAAAAAAACAAATATTAACCTAATTATGGACTTCCCTTTTTTCTAACTCCCCCTCTCCCTCTCCCTCATTGTCCCGTCTTTATTGCCCCCCTCCACCGCCCCACCCTCTGGTGGAAAAGCCACACCAGTAGCATCATCTCTGGTCGGTCTAAGACCCCCTCTTATCATTTCCAGCAGAAACCTATTTTGTCTTTATCATCCTCTCTATCATCATCTCCATTTAAGACCTCCTCCTCCCTTAGTGACGTTGAGGCGCATGGTTGTGGGGGTGAGGCGTAGGGGTGGTCCCAACTCCTCTTCGGTGGATTTTGTGAATCTGCTTCAATAGTGAATGATGGTATTAGCGTATATATATTATATCAATTATTTAGGGGTTAGATTGATTGTAAATCCTGTAAATTAGGAATGTATTTAGGGCTGTACTCCTATATATTTATCTTGAGGTATCAATGAGAATCATCGATTTCTTAGAATCCTTTATGGTATCAGAGCTAAAAGGAAACCCTAGCCGGTTCCAGTTATTGCCACGGCCGTCACCTCCGATCATCATCCTCGTTTTCTGTCGATCTTCATCCTCCGTTCCTTAGCCAATCATGTCTGCCACCAATACGACGCCGCCACCTAAGGCCGCGCTTCATCCGGTCTACAACGTGACTAACATCCAGAATAAGGTGCGTGTTTTGGATGGAACCAAGGTCACGTATTCCTCATGGGTGAAACTTTTCAAGTTACACGCCCATGGTTACAAGGTCATGACTCACATCGACGACACCACACCACCGGCAAAGGACTCCGACACATATGAACAGTGGGTTGATATCGATGCCATCGTCCTTCAGTAGATCTATGGAACACTCTCCGATGACATCCTTATCTGGGTCCTCGAACCGGACACCACAGCCTATGACGTATGGGAAAAGATCAAACAAATCATTCTAAACAACAAAGGATATCGCTGAACAAACAAATCACTCTGCGATCCGTGGCCTCACTTGACGAGTACTGCCAGCGCCTCAAGGATCTCGCTGAACAACTCCGCAATGTTGAGTGCCCCGTCACCGATCAACGAATGGTACTCCAATTGGTACGCGGCCTCCCGTTGGAATTCGATACCACCGTCGCCTACATAAATCAAACTCTTCCCAATTGGGATACCACTTGCAGCATGCTCCTACTGGTGCAACATCGTTAATCCGCTCGTGACTCACCAGCACCGGGCACCGGCCTCACCACCTCCGTAAACCCTCCGAAAGATACCCCTCACCGGAAACTTTCTCGTGGCCGAGGCTCCAACTCCAATCGTAACCAATCCAACAGCCGTAACAACCAGCCTTCCACCGGTCAGTCCAATAGCCGCGAACGACCTAACTCGGCCGGACAGCCCAGCAACCCAGCTGCATACCCACCTGCGCCACACCCGTTGTGGACTATGCCTCCGCCACCCTGCCCATATCCGACCCAGCAAGGCTGGGCTTATTCGTGGTATCCTGGCCCAATACCCACATTGTCACAACAGCAACAACGCCGCGCCCCACAGCAGCATTCGTACGAGGCCCACTCGCTCCAAACCAATTCGTCTCAAGCCCACACGACCGGATCATACAACGCTCTTGACCCCACCGACATCGGCACCGCCTTTCAAGCACTGACTATGGACCCACTTGACGACTCGCAATAGTACATGAACACTGGCGCATCCTCACACCTTACGACGGATTTGGGTAAACTCACACACTTTTCTAATCATAGTCACGTAAAATCTATTTATGTCGGAAATGGTCATGATATTCCAGGTTTGGGAATGGGAAAAGCCACCCTTTCTTCCCAACCCAAACTTCTACATCTAAATGATGTTCTTTTCACTCCCAAAATCATCAAAAACCTCATTTCCGTCCGTCAATTTACCACAGATAACAATGTATCTGTTGAATTTGACCCACTTCACTTTTCTGTGAAGGATCTCAAGACTGGGAAGACCCTTACCCGCCACAATAGCACCAGTGCGCTCTACCCCTTCACAAGCTCATCCACACCACACCCTACCTTCGTTGTTGTCTCCTATTTGGACCTCTGGCATTTTCGCCTCGGGTATCCTGCTATCGTTGTCATCGATCATTTACGTTTTCAATCTCTTATTTCTTGTAATAAAACTTCTAGTAATTATCCTAATTTATGTCACTCTTGCCAAATTTCTAAACACAAACGTTTACCTTTTTACGATTCCACCTCCAGCACGCTTTTACCATTTGATATTATACATTGTGATTTGTGGACTTCACCCGTATCCAACAAAACAGGGTACAAATATTACATGGTCTTAATTGATAACTTCACTCAATATGTTTGGGTATACCCTCTTAATTTTAAATATGAAACTTTCACCCGCTTTTCTCAGTTCCATTTTTATATTCACACACATTTTCAGAGAAAAATCAAGTCTTTTCAGTGTGACATGGGGGGAGAATTTGACAATCACACTTTCAAACAAGTTGCTTCCACCAACGGACTTCAATTCCGTTTCTCTTGCACACAAACCTCTCCCTAAAACGGCAAAGCCGAATGAATGATTCATCGACTTAACAAAATTGTCCTTGCACTCTTAGTTCACGCATCCCTACCTCCCTCTCTCTGGGTCGACGAACTTCATGCCGCTGCCTACCTCCACAACATCACACCCACCAAAGTTCTCAAAAACCTTACTCCCACAACTGCCCTCTACTACCGAAACCCAACTTACGAACACCTCCGCATGTTCGGTTGTGCGTGCTACCCCAATCTCTCTGCCACCCGCAATCACAAACTCGACCATCACTCTGTCCGATGCGTATTCCTTGGCTACCCCGCCAACTACCGAGGATACCGATGCCTTGACCCCACCACTGGCCAAATTCATCTCTCTCACCATGTCACCTTTGACGAAACCGTTTTTCCTTTCTCACACACCCCTCCTAATTCGAACGACTACCACTTCCTTCAAAGCGACTCCAACCTTCCCTCCACAATTCACCACTTTTCTAACAATGACCCTACATAATCCACACCCTCCTCCACTCCCTCATCCTCTCCTCCACCTACTGCACCATACCCGACTTCTCCTCCCCTCCCAACCCTGCCACCTTCCGTCTCCACATCCCCACCTCCCGTGACAAACGCACCCCCACCCCCCATCTCATCACACCCCATGGAAACTCGATCATGCCATGGTATAGTCAAACCCGTGTCTCGCCTAAACTTACACACATCCACCACTCCATCTATCTCTCCCATTCCGAAAAACCCACACTTAGCCCTCCTTGACCCTAACTGGAAAAAGGCCATGACCGATGAATTTAGTGCTTTACATGATAATGAAACATGGGAACTTGTGCCCCACCCCCCTAATACTCATATTATTCGGTGCATGTGGTTATTTCGTCACAACTTTCATGCGGATGGCTCGTTACAAAGATATAAAGCCCGTCTTGTCGTGAATGGTAAGTCTCAACAGGTGGGTATTGACTGCCACGAAACTTTCAGCCCCGTTGTTAAACCCACCACAATACGCACTGTTCTCACACTTGCAGTTTCAGAGTCTTGGCCAATCCATCAACTTGATGTCAAGAACGCCTTTTTTACACGGGGATCTACTCGAAATCGTTTATATGCATCAACCGCCAGCGTTCGTTGACCGTACTCACCCAGACTTTGTTTTTCGATTACGGAAATCTTTATACGGGCTAAAATACCCGTGCCTGGTACCATCGGTTCGCCTCCTACATCACCTCCCACGGCTTCAAAAGTACCACCAACAACACCTCTCTCTTTGTCTATCAACAAGGTAACGACATCGCTTACCTACTACTCTACATTGATGACATAATTCTAACCACCTCCAATGACAAATTTCTATGCAACGTCATCGACACCCTTTCACGTGAATTTGCAATGACAGATTTAGGTCTGTTACATCATTTTCTCGGCATCAAGGTCACTCGGACCTCTCGCGGCCTCTTTCTCTCTCAAGAACAATATGCGAAAGACATACTTGAGCGCGTGAACATGTCTAACTGCAAACCCGCATCCACGCCGACCGACATGTCAACCAAACTTAGCGCAAATATCGGTCAGCCAATTTCCGACGACACGCTCTATCGCAGTCTAGTCGGGGCTCTCCAATACTTCACTTTTACAAGACCCGACATTACCTATGTCGTCCAACAAGTGTTCTTCATGCACGCCCCACGGGAACCCCACTTCGCCTTTCTTAAACGCATACTTCGTTATCTCAAAGGTACTTTAGATCAGGGCTTAATCCTATCGGTATTTGCAAACATCCGCCTCACTGCCTATTCTGACGCCGACTGGGGGGGTGTCCTGATTACTGCCGCTCAACATCCGGATACTGTGTATTTGTTGGAGATAACCTCGTCTCCTGGTCATCAAAGCGTCAGCCCACGGTATCCCAATCAAGCACCGAAGCCGAATACAGGGGAGTGGCAAACGCCACAGGAGAAACTAGCTGGATCTGAAACCTTCTTCTCGAACTTCACATACCGGTCAAGCAGGCAACGATCATTTACTATGATAATACTTCAGCCATATATCTCTCCGACAACCCGGTCCAACACCAACGCACCAAACATGTTGAAATCGACATATATTTCGTTCGAGAACTTGTTCAAATCGGAAAAATCCGCGTCCTCCATGTACCCACAAATCATCAATACGCAGACATCTTCACCAAAGATCTTCCAAAGCTGTTGTTTCAACTCTTTAAAAGCAGTTTGAACGTTCGACATCCTCCCGCTCAAACTGTGGGGGAATATTAGTGTATATATATTGTACCAATTATTTAGGGATTAGATTGATTGTAAATCCTGTAAATTAGGAATGTATTTAGGGTTGTACTCCTACATATCTATCTTGAGGTATCAATGAGAATCATCGATTCATTAGAATCCTTTAGATGGACGATGGCCGATGGTCTCAATGCTTCTGCAATGAAAGAGGTTGCCTCAGGGGGATATGCTATGAATGATGTCTAGGATTATGATAGATTTGCATCTCATGTCTATTGGTGATTTTAGTGAAGTCACCAGTTCGTTTTTATGTAACTGGATTAACAAAGAGATATAGGGAGTTAATCAAGCAATAACCCGTGATTGTTGGATGTTCTTGTATAAGAAGGGTCTAAGTGGCATATGGTAGTGCATCTGCCATGTGTTTTTGGTCTTCAAGATGGCATGGGCCATGAGTTTTTCATCCGAAAGTTATCAGCTCTTGTGTTCAAATCTATATAGCTTATGGCTCTGTTATGTTCAACTATAAGATAGGTTTATTAGCTGAAGGTTCAGCTAGAGGATGACAATTGTGTTCAGCTAGCTGATGGTTTACGAGTGTTCAATTAGTTGATGGATCACTAGTGTTCAGCTAGTTGATGGTTAACTCGTATTCAACATAGCTAAAGGTTCACGAGTGTTCAACAATGTTAATCTCGCTAAAAGATTGCCATATGTGTTTAACTATATCTTGCTAGTGATTGACCACTAATTGGTACTTGCCTTATCTATAACCACACACTCCTAATTTCCAGCAATCATTCCCATTTAATGGGGAGTTATTCTCGACGTTAATATAGGAGCGGTTACGATTCTATAAGTTTAAATGGATTTTTTTTCCATAATCATGACCGAGAATTTGAGATTATCCTCGAGTGAATTTTGTGATATTCAGGCAGAATAGGGTCGAAATATTACTAAAGGAAAGCGAGTTCTCATGGAATCTAAGTTTTATCCAAGTTCTCATAACTCATTGTTTTCTTCAAATAGTTTTCTGGATTCCCCCAACAATCTTAAGTGATATTTTCATTCTTGGTGAGAAAATGTTGAGTGAACAAATCGTGAGAGACATGATGACCAATTTCACCAAACTAGAGAAGTTCGAGGGCGTCGATTTTCAAAGATGATAGAAGAAGATGCATTTTTTGTTAACCACTCTGAAAGTGGTGTATGTGTTGAATACTCTGAGGTGAATGGTGATGGAAGGCAAGATCTTAGAGATGACTCGGCATCAAGGCAAATGGGAGAACGACAACTACATCTGTTGTGACCATATTCTAAACTATATGTGTGACTCTCTCTTTGACATTTATCAAAATGTCGAGTCTGCCAAAGAGCTTTGGTACTCTCTTAAGTTTCAGTACATGGCCAAGGATGCTTCTAGTAGCTGAACTCAAGGCCTATAATGGAGCAATACAATGAGCTCTTGCTCATTATAGGGAAATATGCTCAACACAATATGAAGATGGATGAATCTATCTCCATATCTAGCAATTTTCCCCCCTCTTGGAAATATTTTAAACACATGTTGAAACATAAGAAGGAAGAGTTGTTTCTTGTACAACTCGGTAGTCACTTGCACATAGAGGAATCTCTTCGGTGGTAAGAGACTGAGAAACCTAAGGCAAAATAGGTTTCTGCTCCTTCTATGAACATCGTGGAAGAGGGTAAATCCAACAAGTTCAAGGGAAAATACAAGTTCAATGAAGCCAAGAAGGGATCCAACAAGAAGGTTAAATTAACTTGTTGGACTTGTGGGATGATCGGCCATTCAAGTGTGATTGTCGGGTTAGCAAGAAGAAGAATAGGGAAAGCAATAGTGGTGGGGGGGGGGGGCAAGGATCCACGGATCAGAACCCAT